TATGTATACTATGTATTTGTATTGATGTTGTCGTTCAGGCACTTATACCCCTTAGAATTGAACAAAAAACAATACAAAAGAGGCATTTGATGTAAAACTCAAGTCAAAAGCAACTGTTTTTCTTTGACTCCTCTTTTCTCTCTATTTTAAATAAGTCTAACAAAAAGGTTTCAAAAGTGCAATAATAATAATCTTTTGTTGTTTTTATGAGCTCTTAGTTATAGTATTATTCTGGTTTAGAGCCCACTAAATCTCTCTCTCTCTCTCTCTCTCTCTCTCTCTCTCTCTCATTTCCAGCCAATCCTTTACAAAGTAAAATACCTGTAAACTTACTTTTATAAATAAGATTGGCTTTAAATTTATTGTTAATTTATTTCTCTAGACTTACCCCTGGGTTGTCAAACAGTTGGAGTGAAACAAATAAAACTCGTGTATCGATGAAAAAAGTAGTCAAAAGAATCAAAAGATTTAATTGAAACTCAAATACAATGTCTTATTTTTGATGGCATTTATTTGCAAAATAAAATAACACTTATTTATTAAATGTTTACTCCATTTGTTTGTTTTTTGTTTAAATATAAAATTTCATTTAATTAAAAAATTGTCTTTTTTCAAAATACAACAATTTGTTAAAACAGAATCCCGTCTCTCAGACACACAAAAAATAAGATTCAAATCAATTATTATAACATAGATTTCAACAGATTTTTTTCGGTGATATAAAAAAGAGTTGCAATTTATTAGAGCTGTTAGAAGACGGATAGGAATTGGTTGTGCTTTTTGTGTGCGTTTGAATTATTGTCAGCTCTTAGACCACAATCTCACTAATAGATGTCCAAAGAGTTTCATTTGCCGTCATATTTATCAAAATTAACTTCTAATCGGATCGCTATTATGAATGAATTGAAGTCAGTGTCCGAAACCAAAACATATTGTCCTTTCATTGTCAACACATCCATCGTATTCTGTGTTTCAATACTTATTGCAATACTTTTTTTAACAACCATTTTGCCTTTTTCATGTCTTCATTTTCTGTAACACTTTCTTTAGGTTTTATTATTATTATTAGTGATTACATCACACGAGAGTACAGTAGAGGGCCGTCGCCTATTGCCAGTCCCTATGGGTCTATTCACAGCAGCCCTTAATATTCTCGCGTCTAATATAAGATTAATTATATTTTTATTTCTTTTCTCTATTTTCTGCGATTAGAGGAAAAGAGAAAAAACAATTTTGCGATACTTTTTAAATATATTTTCTATATCTCATGTGAATTAAATAAAGTTATGCCGAATCGCATCACATACTCTCATACTCTCCCGATTCTCTCACACTATCTCTCTTTCTTTTCCCTCTCTTTTCTCTTCACTTTATTCTCTCTCTTTTCATAGCGTTTTTCTCTCCAAAAGTGTTCATTCATTCAGAAAATTAGAAAACTTTATCCTCGACTCGACTTCTCTTCTCTTTTTTCTTATTAAATGAAAATTATTGAGTTCTTGAGTTCAAGACATGTCAAACTCATCGCCGTATTCCTCTTCGTCTCTGTTCTCACTAATAATGCCTAATCTTCGGCCACAACTCCGCACTTTATGTATCACTTCCTCTTGCATTAGATTGAAACACATCGCCAGTAATGCCATTCCTTTGCCGATAGAAAATCATGTATTTAACTGTTCTCACTAATAATGCCTAATCTTCGGCCACAACTCCGCACTTTATGTATCACTTCCTCTTGCATTAGATTGAAACACATCGCCAGTAATGCCATTCCTTTGCCGATAGAAAATCATGTATTTAATAAACATATTATAGATATTTCTTATATTTAATGAATTATTTGTTTTAAGAAAATAATAATAGAAATAATAGCAAAAAACATTTCAACACTACAAAAACAAACAATCAATTTCTAGTGAATACCTGCCAACAAATAAAGGCTACAAATAACGAGCTTTTCTTGAGAGCTATCGCTGCCAACAACCGAAGCCCCGGGAACTAAGTCTCCAAAACCAATAGTACCTTAAAAGTAAACATAAAATAAAACACAATATTGTGTGTCATTTAATACATTGTCTTTTAAATTGTTAAATAATTAAAAACAAAAAACACGAGTTATTTATGAAAGCCGTGGATTACTTAGCGTAACGAAGCAGAAGTAGGCGCCGTCCAAGAAGTTCCAGCCCTCCCATAGAGAAAACAATACTCCGCCGCCGCAGACATAACTGGTCAGTAATACGAGACACAGAGTGATGGGCACATGTACTCGACTCGACTCCTTTGTCCGTTCGTTAATAACGTTAAAATTAAACGCCGATTCAGTGAACTGTTCTCACTAATAATGCCTAATCTTCGGCCACAACTCCGCACTTTATGTATCACTTCCTCTTGCATTAGATTGAAACACATCGCCAGTAATGCCATTCCTTTGCCGATAGAAAATCATGTATTTATTAAACATATTATCGATATTTCTTACATTTAATGAATTATTTGTTTTAAGAAAATAATAATAGAAATAATAGCAAAAAAACTGTTCAACACTACAAAAACAAACAATCAATTTCTAGTGAATACCTGCCAACAAATAAAGGCTACAAATAACGAGCTTTTCTTGAGAACTATCGCTGCCAACAACCGAAGCCCCGGGAACTAAGTCTCCAAAACCAATAGTACCTAAAAAGTAAACATCAAATAAAACACAATATTGTGTGTCATTTAATACATTGTCCTTTAAATTGTTAAATAATTAAAAACAAAAAAACACGAGTTATTTATGAAAGCCGTGGATTACTTAGCGTAACGAAGCAGAAGTAGGCGCCGTCCAAGAAGTTCCAGCCCTCCCATAGAGAGTTGTTATGAGGCGGCGGCGTCTGTATTGACCAGTCATTATGCTCTGTGTCTCACTACCCGTGTACATGAGCTGAGCTGAGGAAACAGGCAAGCAATTATTGCAATTTTAATTTGCGGCTAAGTCACTCTCCCGTCTCCGATAAGTCGCCTCTGTTTGACTGCCGCTGAAACAGAGATGTATTATCTCTGGTCAGTGTCTGCAACGTCTGTTGATCCCCAATCCCTGGTGGCGGCGCTGAACTAAAAGCCAATTTAAAAGGACTTAATTTTTAGATATTTTTCTTGTGTTGTAGATATACTTCTTTCGGTTTGTATTATAATTAAACACACGGTATATGAGGGATAAAAAACTAGATAAAACGTTTTCAATAGTTAAACCTTCTCTGAAACTCTTTTCAATAGCGAGAACTCATGCAATGGATATCGGAATGAGATTTTTTGTTGTTAGTCTTCCGGCTCTTTATATAAGAGTGAAATAATACCTCATTTGATGGAGAATCGGATGCATCGGTCGGTTTAATGAAGATAAGGGACTGTTTGGCAACGAGTTTGTCGGCTGTGCGAGCATTCGCTGGTGAATACCGGGAGTGACGGCCGATACGCTCCGATTGAGGCCGTATCGCACCGACCGGTTGTACAGCTGTTTGCGATCACGAGATTCCGATTTACAGACACAGCACCGGCCGTAGACATAGCGGAAGGCTTTGGCCAATATATCGCCGATATTTGTTAAATACAATAACATCAACGGAATGCCAAATATAGCGTACAATATGGTCATAATTTTGCCCCTCTCTGTGCGCGGACTTATGTTTCCGTAACCTTTCAATTAAACACAAATATTTATTTAAATCATTAATGGCTTTCTGGTTGTTGTAAAAATAAACGTGTTATTTATAGAATATTCTCAATACTTATTTTGTCTAATAATACATTTTTCGGTTAAAGTTATTATGTTTTTATACATGAAAATGTCAAATCATGCAACAAAAAAGAGATTTTATAATTAATATAAATTAGTTTTGAGTTTATATTTTTTGTTAAACGGAGAGATATTTGCTAAATGAAAGCCTAAAACAACATAAATGATAGAAAATATAAATAATCATAAAATATATTTCATTCGTGTAATCAAATAAGGAGATGAAATTCATTGAGAATTCAAATCCAAGAGACAGTACAATAAATTCTGTGCATAAGAATGAATGAGAGAAATATTAGTTTCGGAAAATATATTTATTATTACAAGTACTGAATTGCCTAACATTGAAATTGGATTTTAAAAAAGTGTGTAACGAAACAGAATTTTTATCGTAAAATAAAGCGTTTTGTTTGGCGAAAGAAAAAATATTGTTGTTTTAGTGACTCAGTTAAGTGTCTCTCATAAACAATCAGAGATTTAACATAAACATCAAAACGATTGTCAAAATGGTTAAGACATTGCATTCTTTTCGCTGATATAAACGGTTAAGGGTTTTAGTGTTTCCAGAATTAGACACAGAGAATAGGCATAAAAGCTGAGTCTCAGCACAATTCCGGCGCTCGTCTATTAATAAACGGATGCTTTTTACTGAGTTTTACAAACCAAATAAAAGTTAAGTTAAGATAATACATTTTTCCCAAAAGTGACGAAATATACATAAATATATGAGACATATATAACGGATTGTAAACTTGATAAAAACAACTTTTTTACCCATTAATACAAGTGCTATATATAAATCGGAACACAGATATTGTTCAGAATATTCTGTAGACATTTTTACATAAAACCCAAATAAATCCTTATTAATACCAGTTTTGTGTTGCAATTTCCAAATTAATTTGTCTATACGTTTGCGGAAATATAATATTGCATTTGCAGAGAAAAATATGTGTATATAAATCGTTAACAAATTTAAAAGTGTTTGCAATATATTTGCGTGAATTAAGTGCCAGAAAGAAGAAGAAAAAGTGATAATATGGGCACAAATTTATTACTGATAGTATATATTAATAAAATGGGAAAATTCTTGATGCTATTATATTAAGTTAAGGCACCGGTAGTTATCATTGGATGTACTAATGTTGGAATAATATCTAAATTTCTTTTACTACTAAACTTCTACCGTTTGTATAACACATACTAACAGCAAAATTCAGAGCAATATTAATGTGATATTCATTTCTTTTGAAACGCCGACGTATTCTGGGAGAAGACATCTCTCTCTCTCTCTCTCGATGTAATTCTATGAGGAAATGGAAAATGACTCAAAATGTTTGGTTTATTTTCAATTCAATTCTATTATGTAAAAAGGGTTTTCACTGCTTTATATGTATTTATATACTCTGTATATATTGCCTAACATTTGAACTATTTTTGTTGAAAAAACCCATTAATACAAGTGCTATATATAAATCGGAATACAGATATTGTTCAGAATATTCTGTAGACATTTTTACATAAAACCCAAATAAATCCTTATTAATACCAGTTTTGTGTTGCAATTTCCAAATTAATTTGTCTATACGTTTGCGGAAAAATAATATTGCATTTGCAGAGAAATATATGTGTATATAAATCGTTAACAAATTTAAAAGTGTTTGCAATATATTTGCGTGAATTAAGTGCCAGAAATAAGAAGAAAAAGTGATAATATGGGCAAAAATTTATTACTGATAGTATATATTAATAAAATGGGAAAATTCTTGATGCTATTATATTAAGTGAAGGCACCGGTAGTTATCATTGAATGTACTAATGTTGGAATAATATCTAAATTTCTTTTACTACTAAACTTCTATCGTTTGTATAACACATACTAACAGCAAAATTCAGAGCAATATTAATGTGATATTCATTTCTTTTGAAACGCCGACGTATTCTGGGAGAAGACATCTCTCTCTCTCTCTCTCTCTCTCTCTCTCTCATTTCCAGCCAATCCTTTACAAAGTAAAATACCTGTAAACTTACTTTTATAACGTTTGTATAACACATACTAACAGCAAAATTCAGAGCAATATTAATGTGATATTCATTTCTTTTGAAACGCCGACGTATTCTGGGAGAAGACATCTCTCTCTCTCTCTCTCTCTCTCTCTCTCTCTCTCTCTCGATGTAATTCTATGAGGAAATGGATCTTCATTTTCTATCTTTAACTCACAAACTACTGGCGCACCCAAAGTATCATTGATTTATTAGATGTATACACTATTCTGTGCCGAAACCGTTAGTCAATATATGTATCACTTTTTATTTGCCTCATTTGATGTGAAAATATATTTATGCCATTGTATTGTATTATATTATATTAAAGTGTCAATAAAGTACATTCTAATGCAATTATGATGTTTTAATGTGTATTTTTGCCATCTAATGAAAACTTGCTAATATTTATTTAAAATGCATAGTTGTTAGCACTTTATACCTAATATATTATATTATTATACAATGAATATATCATAAAATAAATGCCTTAAAGTAAATGAATCACAAAAAACAATGTATTTGTGATGAATATTATCCTCGAGAGTGTGTTCTCTCTATTATATGGGAAACAACGGCGAGAAAAAGGGCAACAGAAAAGAGAGCTCATCATTGAATGCATTGTTTTATTTGAATGGATGAGCGCTGAGGCCATAACTAATAAAAATAAAGAGCCGATAAGTGAACGGAAAAAACAACATATTTGTTGTCATATAAAACACAATCAAATAATTGTAGCGATAGAGCGAGGGATCAATTTAGAGGCAAAATAAGATACGAAAACTTCTAATATATGCCAGATTTCCCCTGACATTCACAGCCATACGACTACCCATTACTAAGTGAAGTATAATTTCTATACATTTCCCATAATCTTATATCGATATCGTATTAATAGTGTGTTGTAAATATATATCCTCTAAGTTATAGACATGTTATTAAAGCGAAATCCAGATATTGTTGCGAAATATTGTATTAATACACAGGAATATAATGAATGGCATCTCTCGTTGAGGTTTAAACAAATCTTTTCAATACATCTCTCGCAACAATAATATTGAGACAAAATCTAATTCATACACAACTCATGACATGTTGTGCGCTATTCTGTCGTGTATTTGAAAATATAAATCAATAAACAAAACTATTATTAAATTTTAAGTATAGATATTTACGCTGTGTTTTGTGGGTAGAAGTGGTGCTCAAAATTTAATCAATTATATTAGTGACCGGCTGTCAACTCAGTGGACAGTAATTTATATCTTGCATTACGAATACAATTGTCATAAAATCATATTTATTATCATTTTTGTTGTTTGCAATAAATAATAACATCCACTCAAGAAAATTTCTACTTTTGTTATTTTATTGCAAACAATAATATCATAAATAATAATACCATTGAATCGATAGTCACTCAAACAAATGATAAAATTAAAAATTGAATAATAGTTTTTGTAAATACTTTTACAAATCATTGATAAACTACTGAAATGTTGCTAAATATGTACAACAATTTGTATAACAAATGATATAACTTTACAATTAGTTAATAGTTTCAAGACATTAATATCCAAAATGTAAATTAATTTTTTGTCAGTAAATGCAATAAACGAAAGACAACTTTATAATAACCAAATCTAAAATATTTGAACCGTTTTTTGTAACACAAGAGTTTTGGTTCACAGCATAAGTCAATTGAGAAGAGATTTGCAATTCTATTGTGACTTTAGTCGCAAAAATATTTTCAAAACATACTTCAAAATCCATTAGCGATTAGATATTTTTGGGGAAAACAAAATTTCACTTTTCCTTTATATATCATATTCTATAGGGATGTGTAATAAGTGCTGATTTTTATTATAGGCACTGAAAAAACTAAAGAACACATCATTAAAAATTAATTAGATTTCAGTCTTTGAATTTACGTCTGAAATCTGACCCAACGTTAACACGATTTGAGGCAAAGAAAACAATTTTTATATATATTTTTTGAATAATTAGCAAAACTCATGGTATAAATGCTTTCGTCGTTATAACAGTTGTGTTAGTGTCGGAGAAAAAGTCGATTCAAATGCTATTTTATAGCACCAGAAAAAAGTGCTAAAACATAATTCATGTAACAATTAATGTTTAAAAGTGAATAATTATGTTTTTCAACACAAAACGGCAAGTATTTTAGCACTGCCTTTAAAATCGCTTATCAAATGTAAAATAACTTATGAAATATTACACGAGTTATAAACGACAGTAAAAATGAAATAAAAAGACCAAACAATCGTCAAAACAGTGGCAAAAATGTAATTTTATTTTAAATTAATTATTCCTACATAATATTCAAAGAGAATATGAGTGACCCTCTCTCTCTCTCTCTCTCTCTCTCTCTCAAACTCATTGCTCTGTCACTCATATTCTCTTTGAATATTTTGTAAGAATAATTAATTTAAAATAAAATTACATTTTTGCCACTGTTTTGACGATTGTTTGGTCTTTTTATTTCATTTTTACTGTCGTTTATAACTCGTGTAACAAATTAGTAATCCAGTCGTTAATATGGATTAAATATTAAATCTAATTCATAATAAACGCTCGCATTTTTAAATAGATTAACAAAAAGCAAAATATTCTCGTCGTTTCTGCAGATAATAAGAGTTAGTGAACAGAAAGGAGCAAAAAATTGTGATAATTTTAACCTAAATTTTGTGTTGTTTTTACTGACGAGTGAGAGTTTTTCTAAACCTCTGTCGAGAAAAACAACCAAAAAGTTAATTATAAATATTTGTGTTGAATATTGTGTTTTTAAGTCCAAATATTTGTGTAAATCTCATCAAAAACTGTGACTCTGTTTAAAATAAAAACTTAAAATTTTTGAAAACTAATCGAAATTTTGCTTCAATTTATTATAAGAAATATAAGAATTTTATGAAAAATAGACGTTAACGTGACTTAAATACCAAAACAACAATAATAACAGTATATAATAATATGCTTTTGCAATAATACAACCAAAAAGTATATATAATATTAGCTTAAATCACATTTTGCGCTCATATTTATGCAAAACACAGAATTTTGATTCAATTTTGTTTGAATCTCACGTCATATTCAAGAAGAATATTCTTTTATAAGCCTAACGTAAATGAGTTTTAAATTACTATAAAAAATAACGTATAGTTCTTGTAATTGATTAGACATTAATTCAATAGAAAACATTTCGTGGCATTTCATCGCTGAAACAATTCACTCGCAAACAGTTTGTGTGTTTTGTATGGAAGGCTAACGACTAAAATAATTATATTATATGAATTTATTTATCGCAAAGAAATATAAATAAATAAATATATTATTTTAAAAGTTGGCCGAAAACCCGAAGACAATGAAATTTATTTCATTGACAAAAACAAAAGCTAAGCATTACTTATAACTCAATATTTATACAAATCAATGGCTTTGACGACTATTTATAAGTTTATAAACAGTTTTAATTCTTGACATCTCTTTCTCCCGATAGTCAGTAAAAATTGTGATGATTTTTAAAATTGCATTTTAAACACAAAGACAATCAACTCAAGTGTTATTAAAAATATGTAAAAACCAAAATAGCAATCAAAACATTAGTTCGGCTTATTTTCGATCCGCTCTTATAATTAATTATTGAATTTTCGCTGTAAATACAAAACGCTTAATAAATCTGTTGAATAGAAAGTAAATTTAAAGCATTTACTGGTGTTTGAC